CTGCGTCTGAGACTTCTAGTCAAAAAGAAGACGCGCCTTCGACTCCCCGCCTGCAATCTTCGAATAGTGCCGTCGCAGACACTTTTGACATCGTCCCCGTGGCGCCACGCCTGCTTGACTCAAATCCCATCCGCGCGTCCATCACTCCCAAGGCATATTCCGATATCTTCCAAAAGATCGTCGTGTCCGCGCGGACCCCATCAGTACCTATCAATCTTGCCGACATGACAAAGGCACTCGTGCAGGGCTGGAAAGAGTCTGACGAGTGGCCGCCACGAGCAGGACTCGTAGACCCGCTCATTGGCAAGAAGCGCGATATAACAGGAGCTGCGGCCAACGGACACCATGGTGGATTTATGGAGCGCCACCCGCATCTCGAAAAGAGCGTCGATAGCGTCAAGAGGATTCTGCATCTGAATGGCAATCATCATGGACCAGAACATGCGGAAACTGGAAAGACGGGATGAAGACATGATGAGGCAATACACCAAGACTTGAATATTGCTACATTCGAACATGCGGAGAGCAACCCTGGGCGCCTAATGGACTTTCACAGGTTCAATACACCATGACCGCCCTAATTAAGGGCAAGGAAAGTTGCGTGTAGACGATAACACGACTTGCCCTGGGAGAGCTTGACAATTCCTCCTATGAGAGGCGGCGATACCCCAGTGCTCCATCATGAACCGTCAAACATTGCTGGACAGTTGGGTGTGTGCAAGAGCAGGAACACTTTGATTCTATATCCCACAAAAGATCGAATGTCGTGGTGAACGTAAGTCCAAGGTAGTCGCAGGGGCCTTGAAGACAGCTCCTGTCGAAAGAAATGAAAGGAGATAGCCACGAAATATATCACAGCTGTGTGTGTCACATACTTCACACTGTTCGCATTCGTTTTCTTCGAATTCCAATTTTGCATCGTCGTGCGTATTGCTCAAGATCTACGTCGCAGGTGCCTTCTGCACTGCCCACCTGCAATACTTGCTTTGATCAAGCCTCTGGGTGTATCTTGGGGATCTCTATCATACAGCTCGACACGTCAGCCAGAGCATGTTCTATCATCACTTGCACGGGACGAACACAAGGACATCCACCGAAGTTGTTAGGCCAGCGACAATGCCCGACCAATATCCGCTCGACAATCATGATCTCAGGTCGGCCGAGCTAGAGGTTGGTCGAGGATGGGACAAAGACAGTGCTTCGGCAAGACAAATGTCTCTTGTCGAACGACATGTGAGTCTGAGCCTGAGCCAGCAATGCGTGGAGTAATTGTCTGTGATGTCGCCCGATAGTAAGGCGTTCAACGTCCGACAATGTTTGCGCAGTCAGAGTACGGCAGGAAGACTGTCCACCAAGTCAATCGAGAATGAGGCCGTAGGCTTGAGTGATGGTCAAGTAGCAAGGCAGTGGGCCTGAGTGCTGGCACAGGGGTCGACATGACCTCTCGACAATACGTATAAGTGGAATGAGATTATCAAACCTAAAAGAAGTTTTTGTCCACTGTATTTTACTAGATAGTCATTAGATGTCTCGTTGTAAGAGCAAAGGATCTCCTGGATGGCACCTGCGAATCAGTCGTCAGGGACATCTTTCGCGAGAATATTGAATTATAAGACATTGTGGTACACAGCAGACAGTAGTAGCATCTTAGGCGAGCATGGGCTTATGCAAATCATCGCGAACATTTTCGTGTCGTATGCGAACCGTTGCCTGCACCTGTCTCGATGTGGCATGTACTAGCGCGACGCTCCAGGCAGACGCGTTGTTGGGCGTAGGGCTGGGCGAATTTCGCGACGCTACGATCAATAGCTTGCTTTCGTTATGGCGAATAGAACACGAATTTCGGATTGGAAGGCGGGAGCCAAATTACGCGGCTGATGAAAGGGAGGTTGCGTAGTATAAAAGCACAATCCGCCTTGCTTGCATTTGCCACTGCTCTCATTTTGCCATATCATTCAAGCCATGCTCCCACAGGTGGTATATCCACACAAAACATCATATCAGTACCTCGAATTGCTAGAAAGAACAAATTGCTCAAGCATGCAAGAGCTTGAGATAACGCCATCCCAATTTTCTCAGAACGCCAGAGAATGCCGCTATGTCCATAGTATGTCAAATTCGAGGACATCGATTGAGTGCAACCCGAATTTTAGAGAGAAGCGCCAACGAAAATGGTGAAAATAAAGCTTCTGTAGGTCAAACGGCCTCGGTCGAAGCGAGGGAAAGCGGGACCAAAGGTAGGTCGACGCCAGGAGCTCGACCCCACTAAGTGGAGAAATGGAACATGTCTCATCGCTTGAGAATTCAAGTCGATGGTTCTGCTGTCGCACGGCTCAGACCTGCCGTGGCCCGATCGGTCGGCTCGTGGTAATATGCTGTCTTCGATGCGTTCGCCGGTCCCTCTCCCTTCTGCTCTCCTGTCCATTCGTCTCGACAAAGTTCCCTGGCGGTCGTCCCAGGTTATGGTTTCCGCCGTTCAGCTCCTTCAAATCCTCGCTGTCGATCAACCGCTTTTTCCACAGATGCTGGAAAAGTCCAAAGTCCGGCCTCGAAGTCCGCAACGTCTGTCCCAGCATCGTATGAGAAGCCGCCAGATGCTGCATCCTCGCATTCCAGCTTGCTCGTCCGTCGTCCGATGTCACAGTCCACTCACACAATGGGCACTGGACTGATTGTGGTGGCTCCTCGCCCCGGAAATGTGACTCGCAGTGTGTCGTCCATTCTTCTCGGTTGTGCGATATGTACTGGCAGCTCAGGAACCAGAAGGCGCACTCGAACACCGGCGTGCGTACCAGCGGTCTCGGCACCTCCAAGACGCCATTATTCTCTTCCAGCAGCGGCACGCCCGTGAAATGGCTCGCGAGCCCCGTACTAATCGACGTCTCGGTCGGCGTAGCTTCGGTCCAGCACGAGTGCAGTGACGGCGGGCACGCAGATGGGGCAGACTGGTGGATCAACGTGGGCGCCATGGAGGACCCACGCGATCTGGGGTAGTGTTCGCGCTGTGGACTCGAAGGACCCACGTCGTCGTGGGTCGACAAGAGGTCGAAATGCACGACGCCAGCGAGACGCGCGTGGATGTTGTCTGACGCGGATTGGCGCACCCACCGTTCCGTTTGGGGAGTAAAGTGCCGGTCGCTTTCTAGCCTTGCGGCCAGAGACATGGTGCGCAGGCTGGCGGGGTGAACTGTGGCGCAGCCGGATGCATCAGCCTCGTTTTCGGAGGGACACCCTTGTGAGAGGTAGGGTGTTGCTGCAGGGCGTAACGAATCAGGACTCACGTGCAGGTGATGGACTTCGTGAAGGAGCGCGCTGGGAACGCGGCATGGTCATTGTTGGGGTATCAATGCTAAGGCGAGGGTAGGGCTTAGCCGCCGATGAGAGCGGGCCGTCTCGTGTGCACGTTCACTGTTCCCGCAGTCGAGATCCGTCTCAATCGTTGAGCGAGTCGTGTCTTCGTATGTCGACAAAAGCACTCATCGGGGATGTTGAAGTATCCACCAGATTGAGGCTCTGCGGCGATTGCGAATGTCTCATCCGACTTATCCATCATCCCAGACGCACCAGGTCACCCACTCCATCACTTCCCCGCGCCAGCACATCGCCGAGTACCTCGAGCTTCATCATCTTGATATCTCACGGTCCGTCTCGTCGACTCTGCGGACACTTGATTGGCTTGGGATGGTGCAGATGACGAGGGCGGGGTGGGCGCGACGTATCTACCCGCCAACCGAGCCCTGTTCGGAACGCTTCATCGCGGGCCTGCCGACCGCTCTTTCAATATGACAGACGAATTAGCGTTATGGCGATGTATCGGTGTGCGTGTGAAACGAACCGGGATCGACGACGTCTCCCGTGCTTCTGTGCAGCATGCTGCTGCAGTCGGAGCTAGAATTGCGCAGCACAAGCGTGAAGTCGGCCGTTTTTGAACACATCTCAATGCTCGACATGACTTGCTGTAAAGCCAGATTCGACGTGGTTCGTCGCCGACTCCTTATCGTGTTGCACGCTTGGTCCAACGTGTGAACGTGCGAGCAAGAAGCTCTCTGAGCTTGGTCACGCAATATTCAAGTTGAGTCGACAATGACCATTCGGAACCACAGCCTTGGTATCAGAAGTCTCACACAGCCTACAATCGTGCCAACTGGGCTGGTTGCATGACCTTACCATAAGTCCTCCGAGCTTGGATACGAGATATCAGTGAAGGTTGGCGGACGACAACCGTCGAGATTGCGAAAGGTCGCCCCACGCACGCAGAGATCGGGTTAATACTGACTTCCATACCTGAATCTACCAAGTTATGAGGTTCGTTCGCAGCGAGCGCGGAGGTTGTCGAAGGCAATTCAAAGAATGATTATTTGTACATGAAGCATTGAAAATAATCAAGATTATGCGTCCAAACCACGTTTGTCAACTAACAGTGAATCGTCGTGACCCTGGCTTTACTGCTCCTGAACACACTTGGAAGATATAGATTCTGATTATATGTTGAGGATGCTCACGATACCTTATGATAGGCATGTCTGTGTTCCGAAAGTGCGCTTTGGTGGTCCTGCCCCTTCCGCACCAGTCTCACATTGACGCTCATCCCGAGACGCACGCACAGCAACACACCCTTCAGTATATCACACACCATCTGAACCTTGATAAACTTCCTATCTACATACCTTCTACCCAAATCACCTCCGAAATGCTCGCCCATCCCCTAAACTAAACCACCCATCTTCACCGACCTTTCCCCGATTTTCCACCGGCCCATCTTTTCCGCGCACGTCTATGACTCGTCCATTGTTCTCCGACACATCAAACCCTGCTTGTGGCTTAGCAAACCTCACTCAGCCAGCACAAATCGTTCCCAGCATACCGCTTCCTCTATGCACTCTTCTGACGCTACAAGCAGTAACTATATTTATTATCTACGCCATCACATGGTTATTCAACCTGCCCGGTTGGCACAGTGAGTTAAATCCACCTCCCTCAAAATCTTCGTCCATTAATATGTCCGCAGATTGGTTAGCGCGTGAGACTTTTAATCTCAAGGCTGTGGGTTCGAGTCCCACATCGGGCGTCTTGTTTTTGCGTCTTTTTGCTCATGTATGGTTGGATTTCTGATCACATCTTTGGTGGGAATAATGGTCGCGACTTCTATTTTGGCTGGTGGGGCAGGTGTGAATGTGTGCTTGGGTTTGTTGGGGAAGCGAAAGCATTCAAAATCATCGTCTTTACTTATGGTGGGACCGAACTTCTGCTCTGGGTGAATGTTATGTTATTTTGTGAAATTGCTACATGAAGCTGGAAACTACTGATGCTATGCGTCTCAGGCATTTGTTATCCAACAAATATACCTTCACTGTCTCTTAAGCCAAATCGACCAATTCTACGAATGCGGCGCTGCGACTTTGCCTGCAACGAGCGCAATCAAGGCGGCACCCACCCCTGAACCGTCCTTAGCGATACCGATGCGGATTCTCTTCTCGCCTTGTGCGCCAATATCCGGAATCTCGCGTAGTGCTTCTCTGATGTGCTCCTCGAAGTTGGGGTAGAACTCAACGAGCGAGCCGTCGACACCGACATCGATGACATCCTCATCGGCAACCTCGACGTCACCACGAGCAGGATCAATGCCAGACTTTTGCTCGGTGGTCGCTGTGCCTGACGTCTTGCTTAGTCGGCCAGTGTTAATGACGATAGCTGCAATGGCAACGGCGGAGAGACGAGCTGCGCGACGTCCAATGGCTCCAGCAATCTCGCGTACTGCTTCCGCGTCTTCAGCGCTGACGGCAGAGATGTCGTAATCCTTGTCCAGAGTCTGTCTGAGCATGCGATATCCTGGGCTGTTGTCGCTGGCGCACACACTGAGGAAGCTTGTGTCGATGCCCCACTGCTTGTAGATAGGGCTGCTGTCGTGTATTTGTGTCGTGCTGTGCACATCATTCGAGGCAGAGTTATCATCTGCGAACAGCGGCACAGCGGGATCTTTGATGAGCTTAAGAAGTGCCAGACGGAGCAACTCGCCCAGGAACATGCCCGAGACGCGCTTCTCGAACATCTGGATCCCAGGGTTGACTGACTTCTCGTCCAGCTCAACATCGTATGGTGTGTTCGGCAGCGTGCGAAGGGAATTATCGAACGAGCCCCATTCGGTGTTGACAATCATTTCGCCGGTCGACTTGTCGAATTCTCCGGCATCCTTGCTCTGTGTGAGCTTCGTGACCTTGTCCAGCTTCTCAACGTATGCACCGTTGGTTCCAGTTCCAAAGATGGCGCCAAGCAGTGTTCCAGTCTTGCCAGGTGAGGTGTAGGAGCGTGCCATAAGTGTTCCCACGGTATCATTCACCAGTGCGGCAACTTTGACAGGGAGATGTAGCTCGTCGATCTCAGCCTGCAGCAAAGCGCAAACGTCCTTGCCAACCGCATCCTGAATGTCGAAGCCCTTCGTCCAGCGCATGAGCATGCCCTTGTTGATGCCAATTTGGTTCACCGGGAAGGAGAATGTGAAACCCAAATTGAAGATCTCTGATTCGGAAATGCTCCCTCCTCCCGTCTGTTGGCGTGTGAGTGTCCCAGCATAATGTTCTTCATGGTGTAGCTTGAGGAAAAGTTCAATCTGTTTCGCAAGGAAGGAGAAGAGTTCTTTCGATGTCTTCGCGACCATGAGCTCGCGGGGGATCGCGACTTTGCTTTGGGTGAGCGAAAAGGTTGTGTTGCCGTGCAGCTGTATCGAGCAGACGCGGAAATTGGTGCCGCCCAGATCGACGGCCATGTAGAGACCCTGGGAATCATTGTCAGCAACATTGTACCGCCAACAAAGACTTATTTCCCACCTTCTCCGTGCCATTGGGTACAGCGGTAACGTATGTGGGAATCTGGCTCAGTTCAGTGCCCTCCTTCTGCAGGCCCTCATCTGCGCGCCGTCAGCGACTTGCATGCCCGTATTCTGCTCCTGTTCGTACCCATTTCCCGTATGAACTCCTTGACAGCCTTATTGACCGCATCCTTGCCGAAACCGAACTCCGCGGCGACCCGCTTTGCCTGCTCTGCGAGAGCCATACTGCGCTCCGGTCTGGTGTTGAAAGTGCCTTTGAACTCGACGTGTTGCTTGGGCTTCGGGCAGATCGGAGACTCTTGGAAGACGACGGGGCTGCGGAGCGTAATGCCTGGGGAGGAGACGCGCCAATGCTGGGTGCTGGTGAAGAATTGGTGGATCGTGTGAGGGAAGCGGGGCGCGAGGAGTGGGACGAAAAGCGCTGCTAGCACGACGACAATTGCTACCACGGCAGAAGCAAGGCAGGATCGAGCAGGTTCACGCCTACAGACACTCGACTGCGAACTGGAAGAGGGGTTATTGGGCTTGGGCACAGGCGTGGCTTTAACTGGGCGTGAACTGCTTCGCGTGTCCATCACCTGCCCCACCTCTGTCTGGTACAACCTGGTAATGGAGGGGTGGTAAGCTCAAGCTCCGGGCTGCAGCAACAGTACGAATAACAACATGCATGCCAACCCGTTGGGGGCGGGGTGAGAGATTAATGCCTCGCAATTGGAGTGCCGCAACCCTTTCCGAAGAAGTGCTCGCACCGCGTTGCGCTAACGGACAGAAACGAGGGGTTCTCAGACCTACGCACTGGCCCGAGGACATCGTGAAGCAGCCCACAAGCCATCTCCCACATCACATGTCTCCATTACGTCGGCGGCTGAGACGGCTGGCTTCCCCAGACACTGGTGCAAGTCCGGGCAGAAATAGCGTCGCCTCGTCAAAACACCGAAACACAATGGCAAAAGGAACGTTTGCTTTTATTGCTCGCCCACTATGTATGCATCGCTAAGTGTCGCCAGCGCTCTCTGTTCATAGCCCCGCTGCTCGGATCCAGACCATGCTGCAGCTCAGCTTAAGGAATAGGTAGTAGTATACACTCTGTCAGCAGATACAGCACCAATTGATGAGATGCCTCTCGGCCCGAGATAGATGCCAAAAACCAAAAAACATGTGCATGTATCGAAGAAAAAAACTCCTAACGGAACATGATCCAGTCCCACTGCAGCAACCCATGCAAGAAATCCACGATTAGCGGGTGCCAGTGCGAAGAAAGGAAGCGCCGCCGCAGAGTGACGTTACAATATATACGATATAGACAAAGGAAACCTGAAGCAACAACCCATGTGGGTCGGTCTGTATACGTGCAAATGCCCTCGCCAATCCAATTCTAATGTTCGTCATTAAGTGTTCGCCGCGAGCCGCCGTAGAAGCCCTTGGCCATTCGTGATGCCCCGTCCACCTGGGTGTTGGCAGCCGAGCGAGTGGTAAAAGATGCGTGTGCGAAAGCGAGGAGAAAATTCGAGTGATAGTGAGGGCTGGATGTCCTCAAACAGCCCTGAGGCAGAGACCCCGCAGGGACTGATAAATAAAGCTCGTGTAGTATCGCCGAATGAAGACGCTGTCCATGCAACCTTTCAACATAGTCCAAGTCGATAGCCCCAAATCCGTTTCGAATAGATCTTCTCTTTAGCGAACGCCGAGCGGAGGGCGAGCCCCCATGGGTCCTAGGCTACTCTGGCTGCTGTGTGCAGAGTTCTCCGAATCTAATTGAGCACTGGCGCTACCACTGCTGCCGGATGCACTTCCAGTTAGACTGCGAACTTGAGGACGAGACTTGGGCGGGTAAAGAGTGCTCACCCCAGCGTGTTGTTCAACTTGTTGTGGTGCCACTGCATTTCCCATCCCAGGAGGATGTCTCGGGGCGGGTTGCCTCATGCCCGGGGGTGAGGGCCGTCCGTTTGGAGGCATACCATTCGGTGCGTATCCGTTGGGAGGCGATGGGCGGCCCATAGGCCGCGGGCCGGGGCTTAGGGGATTGCCAGGTGACTGGCTTGTTCGACGGCTGTTTGGATATGGGCCATAGCTCCCACCCATACCCATCTCATCTAGACGAGCTGCGGTTAGTGAATTGGTCCTCGACTGGGCGCCCATAGTGCCGCGGTCAACATCTCCGTAGCGATTGGACGAGTAACCCATGAGAGGGTTGTTCATTATCGAGTCGTGTAGGCCCGGGACATCCGAGAGCATTCTCGCACTGCCCCGATTCTTATTCATGCCAGGGCGAGCAAATGGGTTCCTCGAGCGTCCATTGTGCTGAGGTGCAAAGCCACCTTCAGGGTTCTTTCGGATCTGGCTCGCGCTCGGCATCTTGCGGTTGCGACGCGACGTTACGCTCATCATGTCGAAGTTATCCGGGTCTATGGATGGGCCAGGAGTTCGACCACCCATGGGGTCGAAGAAATCGTCCTCGTCATCGTCGTCATCATAGCCGCCCATCGAAGGAGGTGGCGGAGGTCGTCCTCGGCCCATACCTGGTCCTGGAGGCCCTCGACGCATGTTCAGTTCTTGCTCCCTCAGCTGCAGCTCTCGTTGCCTGAGCATCAACTCTCTCTCACGCAGCGAGAGGTTGGTAGAAGAATTAGCGGCACTGTCGTAGTTGCCATTGGGCGCACCATCACCGACCATATCGTCGTATAGCATTAGGTGTGAGAACTCCTCAAGGTTGCCGCTATCCTCGCCAAACGATGGTCGTCGCTGGCCGTTAGGACCACCGTTCATTCGCGGTGGGTAGCCATTGGGACCAGGTGGGGGTCCTCGACGCATAGGAGGAGCCCCATTGATCGATGGAGCACGGCTGCCAGGACGCGGGCCTCCCTTCATCATGGGTCCACTACCATTCATCATGGGTCCATTGCCATTCATCATTGGACCGGCTCCTGGAAGTCCTCGCGGCAGCGGCGCAGAGGACAGCCTAGGTGGTGGTGGAGGGTTCATGCCATTCTGCGGGGAGGGCGTCGGGGCGGCTGCTGGTCGGTTTCGGTTGGCGATGTTGAGATGATGGAGGATGGCGTAAAGACTCTCGATGCGTGGAACAGAGACGCTGGACTCTTGTGCCAGTTTCAATGGGGATCCGAGATACGTCTCAATCTCCATGGGTCTTTTTGCCTCGAAGTCGAGCCACATTGTGCTGTTGTTCTCTTGAGGCTGTGTCATTTTCTGCAGTGTTGTTTCCCGGAAGTCGGCGGGGAACATGC